ACATAACTGGTAAAATGGACATCTTTTTGAACGCTTTCCTATCAGTGAACTTTCTATTAAGACAGAATTAAATTGAGATCTCCTTTACTTAAAGTAATAGATTAAAATGAGAAGTTTGTGTTTGTCATGCATTCTGTACTTTTGCATACTGCAATGTGATAATTGTACGTGGGTGGATGTAGGTGTACATGTGGAGACCAGAGAAGTCACTGTGAATGCCACCTCTTGTGATGGAAGCAGAGGTCAGAAAGATTTCCTGCAGTGAAAAGTGAGAAAATTCAGATACCTTCAAATGTCACTAATGTTCACTGTTGTCCTTTTTTCATAGAGGAAAATTTGCTGAATTTACCTGGTCTACTCTGTGACTCCAGACCCATAGAAATGTGGTTAGCTTGTAAATGCTCTCTGAAGTAGCCTAGCTAGTCACTCAGTTCTATCAAACCACTGCAAGCTCTTAAAAGGAATTGATCTAAATGGACAACCCAGCATCAGTCTAGGTGCTGGAAATGAAATCTGGAAACCCAGCGCTGTGGATCCTACGAAGTTCTCCTTTATAAACATCTGAGGGCTTGTGCCAAAACTGGGAGAGCTGCCCTATAGACCACATGAACATCATCCTGACATCACCATAATCTCAGAATAATTCCTTACAGATTATATTTTATATGCCACCAATACCATAAATTAATACCTGTTCAGCTGGTAGAACAGATCCACTGAAGGTGACAGTGCAGAGACTTGCAGTTGGAAGGGAGCCTCCGAGTTGTCAATGTTGACTCCAGATCATTTGCTGCCTCATAACATCTCATTGACTCCACTAGTACCCTCCATCTTGAACACCACTTCGAAGAAAGAGTGAGTGCAAGGGCACAGGATATATTCTGGGTGGCAGACTTCAATGAATATGACCAAAAGCTGGTCAAGTATTAAGATCATTGCAGGAAGTCAACAATAGGGAAAAACTTACTTAACTAACTTGAATCTACCTGTTGCAGATGCATCTGTCCATGACAATATTGATAGGAATGTAAGATTTTGGGATTCGCTTTATCTTGTAATTAACTTGGCTCTTAGGAATTTAATAATAAATATTTTTAATCAACCTGTTTACACATGTTGTGGTACACCTCTGGAGTGGGTGGAACTTTAGCCCAGGCCTTCTGATTCAGAGGTTGCTATCGCTGCACCACAAGAGCCCCATAGAATTAAATTATAGGTAAGGTGTTCTCAAACTCAATCTAAAAATTTACCAGGCCTGATTAGACCCATTCCATCTACAAGTATGTTTTCACAAGTTTCTTAAAAGCTTAAGTTCACATTTTATTAAAACAAATACAGAAAAAAGCATGTTTAATAAAAACAGAAGTTTTTCAGTTGATCTACTTTGGGATGCCAGTTCATGACCAATTGACTGGGTAAACTTCTCTCCTGTTGACTTAAGTTTTTCTGTCTTTGGTCTTCCGTTCTTGTGCACCAAATGACTAAGAATTGCCACTTATTTAACCTTTTGCTAGTCACTAGACCCATCCTAATGTATGAATATCACATGATTAATCTCTAATTGACTAAACAATCTATGCCCAATTCCTAATTGGATTTTGTAAATGTAAAGGTCATTTTAGTGACATCACTTTCTACTGATTCAGTCCTTGACATGACAATCAGTACAATCACCCATTTTGTATCAACTTGCCAACATACTGATACATAACGAACAATTTCTCTATTTGAGAGAGTGTAATGTCAACTCCCAGTGATTTAATATAGTTCCAGTGTCCCATCTGAAATGTTCTGAAAGACTGCAAAGCCTATCAATATGTTTTAATTAAAAGAACCATTTGTGAATGCATGACTCTGGTGCATAAGAGCAGTTAACTAAAAGTAATGAGTATAAACAGCTGCAGCATAAAAATGTGTGCCAAGTCTATATAAAAATCAGTACATTAGAAATAATGAGTATAAGACAACTGAGGTAATAAATTGCACATGGAAGATGCATCTTAATATTCAATTGATATATTAAAACAGTCAAAACAATTAGAGTACAAAACTTGCTCCGTCTTGTTGTCCTCCTGACATACGTAACATCATAGGTGCCAGTCTTCAGGCAATTTGACTTGCTGTGAAATCAAGAAATGCCTGAAAGCACTGATACTTTGAAGGCAGTAAGCCCTGACAACATTGCTGATTCTGTGTTCCAGAACTAGCTGCACCCCTTAAGTTTTTCTAGTATAGCCACAACATCCAATAATGTGGAAAACTGTCCTCTTATGCTTCCTCCTCAAAAGGAAGGGCAAATACAACCTGCCAAATTAGTTAGTCTGCTCTCAATCAGCAGTGAAGCGAATGCAGGGATTGTTGACAGTGCTAGCAAACATTACTTGTTTGGCAGTAACC